GTGCATGGCATAGCTAACATATCCAATTTCCCAGAGCAGTTGTTGGCCCCAATAAATAAAGAAATTTAAGTTCCTAAGGCAATGTGCCAGAATGCTGGTCAGAGATCAGTAACATCTACTCTTCTTGGTTATTCTGCTTTCCTTGATACAAAAACTCTGGAATTCTTAGACTGTTGTGTCTCACTGACTTGCTGGATTAAGAAGAATGCAGCCACATGTTGCTTCTCATTCCAAACCCAGAACACTTCTGTGCCCTTCTCCTGTGTCACCAACAAGCTTGATTTCACCCAGGCAACAAGAGTCTCCAAACCCATAACTGCACTCTGCAAGTACAAGACAAGACACACAGCCTACAAACTTTTGCAACTCTGGAAGAGTAACACAAATGAAACAGTTAATGAAGCAAATTTCCAGGAAGGCAGGCAATTGTTCCAGCTACTGAAAAGATACCCATGGAATTCCCATTTTCAAGAAAGCCATCCATTTTCAAATGCCATTGCATGTCTGCAAGTTGGATGTCTCTAAATTCAGCAGACTCAGAGTGCATTATCCCCCTTAATTTGCGAAATACAACCGAAAGATGTCTATGTAAGGTTCAGACAGCATGTGAGAAATGAATGCTTGGAGTGAGCTAATATTACTAAGAAATGTACACTAAAACTCTACATTTTAGCAGCAGCTTGAGTTACAGGGAAATGGAAGTTGTTATCATCACAAAAAGAGTGAAACTCTATTTTTGGTCCTGCCATGAAAGTTTCACATACAGTGATTTATGAATATTTCCCTTCTCATAGCACATGACTGTGACTTACCCTTGTCTTCAAGTACAGCAGTGAATTTAGGGACCACTAAAAAAAATGACATCCTATTTTCAGGCTTTTTTTTTTTTTTTTAACAATAATATGAGCAGATTTGAGATGATGCACCAACTAGAAAAAGAGATTTTTACTTAACTTTAAGCAAGGAGCTGGTTTTGAAATTAAAATTTACCCTGCAACTACAGTCTCACTGTTGTATGCAGCCCAATGAACATATGAAGAAAAAAAAGAGTTCAACATCTTCAGTTTTGACTGTGAAACTATAAAATCCAGCAAGCTTACTACTTAATTGTACTTAGAGTTACGTACACTTCTGTTGGGTTTGCTGCATTTTTAATAGATTTCATCCCATAAGATATCGTAGAACTTTGTCATTCACTCTTCACAATTTCTTTTGTTTTTCCAGGTGCAACGTGCATAGAAAAATAACGATATCATATGAGATGTCTTTATTGTATGTTTTTGTAGCAAAAAAAAATATTTACTTTTCTACTTCCTATAGAATTAGCAGTCTATCCCAACTGTCTTAATGCAATCTAAACATTTGGCATAAACGTAGGTGGTTTTCCTCTGATCTCTAGGGGTACAACGTGGCTTCTCTCACAAGTGGGCTTTGGCTTTTCATTCCAAGTAATTCCATTGCAAAATTAATTGCTGCTTAATTTCTTGTATTTTCTGAGCTGACAATAGGAAGTTTTTAAAACAGAAAAGAAAAAAAAAAGCAGCAAAAATAGACATCTATTAATCAATTTTTAAACACACAACAACTTATATTACAATCTACCAAATTGGAAAGGTTTGTGAGACCCTTAAGAACCTACAAATTGCCGTTAAATAAAAATACTTGAGGAGGGGGAAGCAGATCATCCAATTCACATCTTTTCTTACCAAACCATGCAATTCTAGCAATTCTTCTCTCATGTCTACTACTGTGCATTCTTTGCATTAGACCATTGCTTCTTCTTATCCTAAAGTACATACAAACGTTGTGCTTGCATGGAGGCCTTCAGCGGACCTTTCGTGCAAGAAAAATAGACAAAATACACTCCAGTCTGACCTGACATCCTTGTGCAGAAGAAGAACAGCATTTTACGCTTGTTTTCTTAGCGTTTCTTAGGTTCATCAGAATTTCCTCAACCTTTGTAACAACACAAGCTTAACCTTAAATGAACTAATCTCCAAAAGACAGACACATAGTCCCAGCTACGAAGAAGTATCACGGATTATTCAAAACTTTGAGAAGTTACTCATCTGGTTTGGCGGAGGTGGGGTGGGAAGTGTTGAGTCTACAAAAACGTTCATTACTTCTCAGGATTGAACTGATAAAAATCTCTCCTGCAGCAGAGAAAGTTACCAATCAGTGAATAAAACGCTATCTTTCAGAAGCTCTTAGGCAAACATATCTGTTACTGATTTCCCTGTTACTTTACCCTCACAGCAACGCATGCTTCCTACCTATTTTGCCAGTATCTGTAGCAGAACAACAGATGAAGCCTGGGAAAGTTAGCAAGATGACAAACATGGGCTTTATACCCAGACATAGTAATTCATAAATCCAAAGAACAATTCTACTAGATTAATTATTTTCTAGTGTTTGAACAACCTGTGCCCTTGTCATAAACTCTACCTATAGCTGGCTGGAAAACAAACCCTGCTAAACACGGTGGCTTCCCAATAACAGACCTAACAGAAAATCTGTTTGGAAGCTCTGCCACCATCCTAGAAGGCAATTGTAGTTGGGTATGACTAACATATTTTCTTATCTTTGGGTGTGTTCCCTGGTCAGACTGCAACTGCCAGGATCTACCAGCCCCATCTCGCTGCACCACCGTGGCTGAAGTCCACCCCGTGAGATGCAGTCCAGCTGAAGGACCAAAAACCAACAGCAAAGTGCAGAGCCTTCTGATACCCATAAGCACAACCCTAATTGAGACATGGAAGCAGAACTCTGCACTTTCTTCGGGGCTCGAGATTCTTTTACGGTGTTTCATGTTTTTTCATTCAAGGCAGATGGGAAAAGCTTGGGGTGCCACAAAACCTCAGCGCTCTGCTGGGAAGACGCTGCTTGTAAAATGGAAATGAGTACGAGTTTATTTCGTGAGCGTGCCTGTTTTGATGCATCACCAAATCTATCCTTATCCTTCAGCTTAGGGTTAAAAAGAGAGAGCAAGGAAAAGCAGTTGTCTGAACACGCTGGAGAAACCCTGCATGCTCAGCCCGTGCATGAGCCTCCCACGTCACAGCACGTTACTAACACTCGAGTAACTACAGCCATTAAATCTTCACTCGTTAAAACTTAAAATACTATATGTGACTGATATCAATGTGATCTAGACTAAAAAGAATTGCTGACATATGCTCTCAAGAATAAAAATGTTAAAAAAACCCCAACACTTAAGAAATCGTGGAAGTATACCTACCAAAGGCATGCACATGGAAAAACAGACCTTCCCAGGAAAGATGGCAAATCGCAGCTATTCTAAGTTTCCCCATCTGCCATTTAAGCAATACTGATTTTAAAATAATATCATTTTAAAAGAGAAGGCTATATAAAATAGATGTTATGTGAACATGTACAGGTGAGAAATGAGCAAGTAATTAATTAACAATGAAGATAAAAATGCTTTTGCATTTGACGCAGTTATCCTCTAAACTACTAAATGCTGGACAGAGAGAGGAAAAGATCATAGAATCACAGAATGGCACAGGCTGGAAGGGACCTCAGAGATCATCTAATTCAGCCTCCCTGTCATGGGCAGGGACGCCTGTCAACTAGACCAGGCTACTCAAGGCTCTGTCCAACCTGGCCTTGAACACCCCCAGGGAGGGGGCATCCACAGCTTCTCTGGGCAATTTATTCCAAAGTCTCACCACCCTCATACTGAAGAATTTCTTCCTAAGATCTAATCTAAATCTGTTCTCCTTCAACTTAAACCCATTTCCCCTTGTCCTATCAGTGGACACTCTTGTAAAAAGTCCCTCCCCAGCCTTCCTGTAGGTTCCCTTCAGGTATTGGAAGGCAGTTATGGGATGCTTCTTCCAAGAGAAACGACAACCCAGCGGTCACAGGTCTGAGGAACTGCTGAAGAGGCACCTCCCCACCCAGGCAGAGACGAGAATCCCTGAGCCAGGCTGAGGTTGCAGAACAACCGCAACGGCACACATGGACGTTCCCCTCGGGCACCCCCCACCTCCCAACGCGTTCCTGCAGAATGCATCGGATTCCTTCTACCCCAGCAGGCACCGAAACTGATACCTCTTTGTATCTGCTGCTGTTGCACAATAGTTTATGCCACATCACGGGGTTGTTCTAACACCAACTTGCCCACATACCAACACGAGAAAGTAGTGCTAAGTTTCACTATTGCCAGAGAAATTTTTTAGTCGATGAAAGCCAAAGAAAATTTGAAAATAAACGCCAGCGTTGTCTATCACAGAGCAAGAAAGAAACAAATCAACTCTGCAGCCTAAACATGCATTTCAAATAAGCTGCTTTACTGATAGCATCCCTAACTCTGGCAATGCAACTTCCAAAAAATACAAGTAGACAGAATATGCCACAACAGCTGAGTGTCTTCTCTTTGATTTGATGAGCTTCTGGATCAAACCTGCCTAGGTTTTCAATCTGGGGAGAAAGTTTCCCTAAAACTCCAGCCTGCTCATGGGAATAAGCTAGGAGCCCTGAGGTCATCCTAACCAATTAATCACAAACTCACCATCAGTTTGGCATGGCCCTACACTTTAAACTTGAGTGGGTGTTGTGCTGGACATCAGGATTGTTGTCAGAATAATGGTTTTTAGTACATATCCCACCTCGCTGAGTTTTGGAAAGATGTCAAACTACACCCGGCTTCATTCAGCTATCCTTCAGGAAACGTTCACGCCGTTTATTGCAGTCAAAAAAAGAGAAGTTCCTTGGAATAGGCTGCATTTGTCCTGACCACAGGGTACCTCTCTGCACAGCACACCACCTGTGACACCCAAGTCGGTTTAGGATAACAGGACAGGAGATGAAAGCTGGATCTTCTGACAAAGCAACGCGGCTTCATAAAGGAACAAGAGGGAGATCGATTGCGACAAAGACATACAGTGCCTCACAACATCTGTAAGCAACAGAAGATAAATGTAGATAATCTCTACAGGATATGTTGGGGAGACCAGGAAATGACAGCAGAAAGGAACTTACTTGATTTTACTGAAGACAATGTCGACATCTGTGATTGTCACGTTCTTCCCGTCTATCACATGACAGTCCTTACATAGCTTTGACCAGTTCTTCCCATGCATTTCTTTTCCTGTGGCTCTTGTATCACCATGGATGGCAAATTTTCTAAAGGCCTCTTCCAGAGCGCTTATTTCTCCTGCCACAGCTCCCTCATGGGAGCTGTTTGAATCACAGGACAATCGTTTTGCTGCTCGGTCCTTTGATGGATCTGAAGGAGACTTTGGAGGAGTCTTATTCACAGGTTTGGTCGACTTCACTTTATTGTCAGCCATTGTGCTACAAAGAAGAGGAGGGTAAAGTCATTACATTAATTTGCACTAGTTTACTTTCTGTTAAGCTACAGGCTACAGTCCACGTCACGACATATGAAGAACAAGTTGTCTACAAAGTTAGCAAGAACTCAGTGCCCTCCCCCATCAAACAACGGTCTATACATAGAACGATATAACTCTCTGCCCGTCTAGAAAAAAATTCTAGCATACTTAAAAAAAAAAAAAGCAGAGAAAGAAGATTCCAAAATAGGGCACAAACCTAATTTCACTGTCATTACATCAGAGAACATTTAAGGTATGGTTGGGGGTTTTGTGCCTTTTTTTTTAAATGGCAATCACCACAGTCATTCTACTGATTTGAACAGAAGTATGCCCTTTACATTGCAGGCATTACGACCTACTTTTATTTCTGAAGGAAAAACAGCCAGCCTTTTATTTTCTGGACTGTGGCTTTCAAATTATTTTTTATTAAGAAATAAAATATTTTGAAAGCAGAGAAAAACCATTAATGTTATAACCCTATATTACACGATGTAAGGGCTAACAAGTAAGGAAGCCTCAGAAATGCTTATACGAGTCTCTCTCATTAATAAAACCATTCATTTCCCAAGTTTATGCCCAAAGAACTGTAGCTGCGGAATTCATTTGGGATGAACACACCCGTGATGCAGAAGCACTGAGAAGGGATGTCATTACCGCAGAGAACAACTTCCAGACTACTTTATGTCCAGGCAGGATAGGTTTGCCTTTTAAAGGAAACCTGAAATTGGGCAACAGAACACTAAAGTTATTTCCAGGTGTCTCCATAAAGACAAAAACCCTAAGGTGCCAGAAACATGCCAGAGAAGTCTTTGCCCTCCACTCACATCTGTGGTGCCACTACGAATTTTAACCCATAAAGACACGAGTCAGGTATCAGAAGTTGGGCAAACACTGGGCAAGGGTGCAAAGCCCACCGTACTTACCTCATCCGTTCTTCTACAGTAACGGCTGTGCGTGGTGTTTGACCAACAGGTATGTATTTCTAGTTAAGGTTTCATTTCTGCAGCTGATCGACAGTTCTTTTGGCACAGACACTGTACTTCAACCTCGCCAACAACGCAAACAACTGTAAAATTCTACCTCTTCCGACCTTGCTCAACCCCTGTCCCTGGAACAACCCTTCCTTGCACGCTGCGACAGAACTAACCGTGACTACCTGCTATGCAGCAGTTACTGTTAAACTTCATGTTTGGAAATGACCTTTCAATAAAAACTAGGCTACAAGACCTTCGTCTTTTAAACTTGAGCAAACACAGCACGGCCAGAGCACTACTGTCTTTTTGAAAACATAGAATCACAGGATGGTTTGGGTTGGAAGGGAACTCAAAGATGATCCAGTTCCAACCCCCCTGCCATGGGCAGGGACTCCCTCCACTACACCAGGTTGCTCAAAGCCTCATCCAGCCTGGCCTTGAACACTTACAGGGATGGGGCAGCCACAGCTTCTCTGGGCAACCTGTTCCAGTGCCTCACCACCCTCTGAGTGAAAAATTTCTTCCTTATATACAATCTAAATCTCCCCTCTTTCAGTTTAAAGCCATTGCCCCTTGTCCTATCAATGTTTGCAGCCTGATGAATCAGACAGTTTAGCCTGATCTAGACATTATTTTAGTAAAAATGTATGTATCTGTAAAACTTGTAGTAGCTTACAATTTACTGTGGGTGCTTATTGCTTTGGAGTTTCAGCGTTGGGAGACTTTCAGAAAAGTTTATTGAGGTAAAATTGCTGTTCTTTGCAGAGCAGGCACCAACACAGTGCAGAGAGAACATAAGGAAACAAAAGCACTGCTGACACAACCTATGCAGAAGAGAATTAGATTAAAAATCAGATCACGAGAATCTGCGATATATCTGTCTTCAAGGAAGGTTGACCTCTAAAAGCAGAAGTCTCTTCCAAGCTTGCACCACTTCCATTTCCCTGGAGCTAGAAATTAGAACCTGAAATTTTCCAAGCTAACACTAACTGGCTACAGGAAGAAAGAAGGGAAGAGTACACATCAGCAAAATATTTTAACATCTGTATAGGACATTAAAAACCAAAAGGTACCTCCATAAGCAAGCAATAGGACAAAAGAAGGTGGAGATCTGCTATAGTAAGGTATATGCAGCTCGTATCATTTTTCAGTTTTAACTCGTGTCAAAGAAACCTTCCAAGGGATTTTCAGGGATGGCCCCCTCTTGCTTATGGAGACAGGCTGAGAGAGTTGGGGCTGTTCAGCCTGGAGAGGAGAAGGCTCCGGGGTGATCTTATTGCAGCTTTCCAGTACTTAAAGGAGGCGCGCAAGAAAGCTGGGGAGGGACTTTTTACAACGGTGTGTAGTGATAGGACAAGGGGCAATGGATTTAAACTGAAAGAGGGGAGATTTAGATTGGATATAAGGAAGAAATTCTTCCCTCTGAGGGTGGTGAGGCACTGGAACAGGTTGCCCAGAGAAGCTGTGGCTGCCCCATCCCTGGCAGTGTTCAAGGCCAGGTTGGATGAGGCTTTGGGCAACTGGGTGTAGTGGAGGGTGTCCCTGCCCATGGCAGGGGGGTGGAACTAGATGATCTTTGAGGTCCCTTCCAACCCAAATCATTCTATGATTCTGTGCTCTTAGCAGTTCTGTCAAGAAGCTATACTCAGTGTTAATATCCTTGAAAGATACAACAATTGCACAGTTTACAAGCTATAAGCAAGAAAACGTCTGTCTCATCTGAAATTAGAAAAAATAACCACATGTCTATATTTTTGAGTATCTCCTGAAAAAAAAAACCACTTTCATTAGCCAGTGTCAGTGCCTTGCTGGCCAGCTTGGCCTAACCCTATGTCACCCATCACCATAACTCAACCTTGCACATCACAGCAGAAATGGGTTTTAAAAAGCAGCTAGTGATTTCAAATCATTAGCTGAAATCCACACTTGAAAGGGTTCTGATCTTCTGAATCGTGTGACTTTTAAAATACAACATTATTTTTTGTCTGTACTACTGTCTTCAACACGATAGCTATATCTATTGAAAACCTTTTTTACTTACTTTCAGTTGCTCAGAAATTAAAGGTTTATAAACTCGGTACAGGAAAAACGCTTAAGGGAACATATTTGGCCTTGGGAAAGATAGTTCACTTCTAGACTCAATTCTCTCAAACATCAATAAATTAACTTTGTCTTGGGGTGTTTTGAGTTGCTCTGGGCTGAGGGGGAACAGGACACACTCTACAGAAAAGGCTCCAGTTTTGAATGGTGAAATCTCCTATGCAAAGCAGACTCGGCTCAAAGAAATCCTCACAGTCTAAAGTAGAGATTAACGATAGGTTAAAACTAAGGCTCTGCTACGGGTGCCAAAGAAACTCCTTTTCTTGACGAACCATAATTACAGTTTACTCGTTAAAATCCCACGTAATAGCATAGGATTTACTAAAGAGAAGCTACCTCTACCTATATAGAAATATATTCATTAATAGACTATGTTAGAAGGTAAAGAATTGCACAATATAAGGATATGAAATCAGATTTTTAATGGGGTCAGCTCCTTTAACTTTTTTTAGCGATTACGGACGAGGAAGGAGATCATGCCATGTTGAAGAAATGATGTTTCGAAGAGAAGGACAAAACAACCTGTTTGCCAAAAATTCAAGATCGAATGCAGTTTTGAGTCTTCCTTACCCTTTTTCTCCAGGACAAATGGATCAGAAGGTGCTTGCTGGCTTCTGCTAGAAGTAGAGCCTGGCAGGAATTTGGAGAGGGGCCACAGCAGGGCATAGGTGGAAGCGACAGAAGAAAGCAACTACTCCAAAATACCAACTCTAAAATTCAGTACCACAAAATCAAGCCGCTGTTCAAAAGCATGAGCTGTGTAGATGCCAACTGTAACAATTACAGCTAACCAAAGAAACGCCTTTCATCACCAGCCAAAAAGTCCAACATGCACACAGTTAGATAACACTGCATTTCCAGAGGCAGCACAGGGAAGGAAGGAGGGATTAGCCACCCATCCCATCCTCTCCAAACACTGCTGGCTCCAGTCTGGCAGGTCCACATCACCAAAAACACCCACGTAAAACCAGAGTTCTTGAGAAAAAAATAGAGTTTGTGAAAGAACAACTGCCCCAGAAAACCGGAGTTTCAGAAATCTGCAGAATATTTGGATAACTCGGTGTTGTGTTACGAACTGCTATAGTCTGTGTGTCATGTAAGACTCCTTTAGGATCATGAAACAACAGTTCTTGTCCCTTCTCTCACTCTGCAGTAGGGAAATAACACAGCACATCATACAGACACAGATATCCATACCGACAGAGATTAGGCACAGAAATTGGGATTACAACACACCCTCCCCTGTGGACAGACAGCTGGGAGAACTCCCCTGGCCAAAGTCACGTATTAATCCGGATTCTCCCAAAAGCAGCTACTGTTTCTGTGAATTCCAGCTGCCGATTCTCTGCAGTTGCATAAATACCAGGTACCTACAAAAAAGCCCGAAGCCTCAATACTGACCAACTGTCAGCTCTACTGACATTAATTTACATTCCTTCGCTATCCACATCCTCTCCAGGTGTCAACATATCGCAGGAATTCTGGCTTTGATTTAGATGTGGGGGAATTGCACTTAAAAGTAATCCATCTCTCAGCATCAACAAGGAAGACCTGAAGATTTACTAAAACCCAGAGTATTTTTGCCAACAATTTCAGCAGTTTTTCCAACTCTACGGAATACGCATGTATCCCAGCTGGTGGGAATTCACCGCGGCACCTTCCCTGCCCTGCCCCTGGGAACTAACGGGCGGCTAACCTGCTTGGAAAGCACGGACAGCTCAGTGTTTGTTACAGAGGGATGAAGGAACACGTCTGTTCTGCTGCTGGAATTCAGAACACAAGGAAGATCCCGAGCCCGTCCTCGGCACCGCTTGGATGATTAAGCCACGTAAAGCAGGTACGTGACTGCATGGGAGTGCTTGGAAGAATCGACGTTCTCTGACTCTGCCA